GTCTGTTGTGTATACTTTTCATGAAGGTTTTTTTTTTAATCTCCTGGATATTTATTTGAATCTGTTTCATGGATTGCATTTCTTTCCTATGTTGGGCATTCATGGTTTCCACTTCTTTCACATGCTAGGCATTCATGGCTTCTATCATGGTCTTGTACTCATCTGTTGGTTTTTGTTTTGTTTTGTTTTGTCTGTTTCTGTTCTAGAGTCTCTAATCATGTCTTTTGATGTGCTCACCATCTGTGTAGGTATCTGGGAAATTCTGTTTTGAATTTTTCTAGTGCCTGATTTGTCTGATTTCTTACTTCCTGTTGTATTTTTTCAGGGTGTCCTGGTTGTTGATTGTTAGACTTTTCCATCTTCTTTCCCCTAGAATTAGCCATTGGTCCACTGAAAGTCTGTATTTTTGCCTTGCTTAAGTGTTTCTTCATTTTTATTTTTGTTCTTGGTACTGTCCTTGGGTTAATTACTGAGTTAGTACTTCAATCTTCCAGATATAGCTGGTCTTAGATTTTGAGTCTCTAATGACTCAAAGAATCTCTCATTTTCATAATATCAGGAAGGACAACTGATTAAACCAATCACAACCTTTTACTCCAAGTGATAAATATCAACAACACAATAGCATCAAGCACAGCTTAGAAACTGATAATTTGTGGTAGCTATTAACCTATCACCTTTAACAATGTGAATTAAATCAAAATTTAAGACCAGCCCAAAATATATTTATAGTGAATAAATTCTTCAATATAGCAACTTTACCCTTCAGGATGGGGACTTAGAAGGAGTTGGAAAGAGAGAAATAGATAAGTAGAACTTACAGGAGAAGGTTTCAAGTGAAGTCAGAGGACACAGGAAGATCATGCAAACTCTAGGAAACTGTTGAAGGCAAGAGGGTAAGAAGGAGTGAAAGAACAAAGACAAGAATAGAACAACTTAATAATAGGGAAGCTATAAATTGTACTCACTTCCTTTGAAACTAAAAACGATTGAGAGAAGGAAAAAGAGAGAAGAAATGAAAAATAAAGAAGAAATCTGAATTATGGCAGGAATAGAAACAAAAAGAGAGATGAGAACAATGTGGGAGAGCTAGAGACTGCATGGGAAAAGAAGAAAGAAAAAGAAAAAATTGAAGAGTGGGAAAAAGAAAATTTAAAAATTAAAAATAAGAGGAAAATAATGAAAGAAAAAAAGAATTTGAGGAGCCTCCTTCAGGGTATATGTCTGCTGACACAATGGACAATGTGGGCAGCAATGTTCAGAACTAAGTCAATTAGTCTCAGCAAGGCAGCGACAGTCCCCTGAGAGTCAGGCTGAATTCTGGCTTCAAGGCCCAAGTTGAACTCCCTGACCTCCTGCTAAACTCTGAAAGGTTCTACTACAGGTTCCAGCTGCCCTTCCCCTGAAGATAGTCCAGGTTCAAATGGAAGGTGGTGATCCCTTCAACTTACCACCTGTGGAGGTCTGGTGTGCCTTTATTGTAGGTGTTAACTTCTGTTCTATCTGTTGGTGTTCAGTACAAAGGCCTTTATGACAATCTGTGCCTCTGCATTGTGCTCCCAGGTACTGGCACAGCCAGGAGGCCTGATAGCACTGCTGTGCAGATGCTTCAGGAGTGCCCTCACTGATCTGCTTTAATAGATGCCCAGTGTTCTAGGGGCTGGGGAAGCAGCTTAACTCTACAAGGCAACTGAGCAGTCTTCATTGGTCTGCTCTGATCTTCCTTACTCTAAATTTAAGAACAATGTCAAGGTCTATGTACCTTTTTACTTCCCAGAGTCTGGAATACAATTGATTAGTTGATTTCATTAATGAAAATACTGAATGGGATATTTATTAACAAGATTTCTGATACTCTAAAAAAATTCTAGCTTTGGTTTAGTAATATTTCACAGTTAATCTGGCAAAGTTGTTTAATTGGGATTCATAGCTTTGTTCCTTAGCTAGATGCAAGATCAACTATGCTTTGTAAGAACATTGCAGAATACATTAATGTATGCTTTGATATATAAACTGCACTTTGAAGCATTCTACCACTTTCTACTGAGATAACATTGCTTGGTTAATTCATCATTTCTCTAACCCCTGATCATAGACCATATTCTTTGGGCAAGAGATATTTTGGAAAGAAGATGAGGACAGAAGCCCTGAGTTTAGGCATTTACTCTAGTGGGAAAGTAAAATGATCAAATAATTATGTATATAAATAAGTATAAATAACAGCCATCATCCGTTGCTGAATAAAAAAGAATTACTTCAAGTAAATAAACAATGAAAATGGACATTTCAACTAAAATCTAACATATGGGAAGGAGTTCACAAGGTTAAGAGTGAAGAAAAAATCATTCTAGGTAGAGAAGAGAGTAAATACTACATTTTGATGGTTAGACTGACAAAGTGCTAAGCCAAGAAGCTGAGGTCCACAACATGGATTGTTAAGGCTTTGGATCTTAATTTTAAGTGTGACAGGAAGCTTATTACTTCTTTTGAAGAAAGTAGGTCACATTATTTCTCACTATGAGAGCTGGGATGCCCTCACATATCATTTAATAAGTGAATGTATAGTAATTTAAAATTCCAATTTTACCTCTCAAGTTTTGTTTTAAAAATCTGCCACCTAATCAATGAAGTCATTTTCTGAGATTAATTTAAAAAATTCTCTTGGAGCTCCAACTACCTGGTTTAAAAGCTAAATAATTCCCCTCCTTGCAAAATATTAAACCTGGCTTGCACTGAATATGAGTAAAATTTACATATAGAAGTACAAATGAAGTTTCTTTCTTTTCTGTCACTTGCATTACAAACTTAAACATTAAGTAAACCTTTTAATTTTATAGTGGAATGAGAAAAAATGCAAAAATATTTGTACAGAAGCCATGAGGAGAAGGTTGGAGTAAACTGTGTTGTTCCGTCTCTGGAATAATGGATTAGCAATACTGTGCTTGATTTATTTCATATTTTAGGACTAAATGAAACTTTATCAAGTTGGTGACTTTAGTGAAGTAGCTGTTTCTTCAAGAAAAAAAATATAGTAGCAGTCTCAAAATCTTTCTAGTTTCCAAGTATCTCTAGAAATTATCAGTGAACATAAACTAAGCTAAGCCTGAAATTTTTATTTTAATTTATATTTCAAAGATTATTTTCAATCTTTACCTCAAATCTTCATTTCAAACAACATTATCTGATGCACTGAGGTTTTGTCTATGTGCAAAACAAACTAACAAACACTTTTATAATCTCCTGTAACTTTCGACCTAGGGATGTGGAAAAAAAGATAAGTATAAATAATATTATTAATTCTATAGCAAGTGAGATAAGAATAAAATGAGTACAAATGATTTGAAGTAGAGGCCTATTACACACTAGGACCCTTTGGCTGGGTTAGTTCTGTCCTAATTTTAACTTCATGTGTTTTTACTAATAACCTTAAAGCTAGACTACATTGGGTCTAGGTTTAGCCACTATTTATGCAGGCTTTATTCTGTGCAAGACAAGCACTCAATTTCTAGAACATAATTAGTCACAAGTCACTACCCTTTCAATCAGATGGAAGACTGAATCATCTGAGACAGGATCAGGACTTTTGGAGACAGACTGAGACAAAATTCACAATTGGGAGCCAGTGTAGCCTGTGCGGGTGTATCTTTGCAGTTAGTGAGGGCTGGGGTGGATGGATATTGGGACTGTGAGAAATAGTGAGAAAAAAAATAGTAGGTTATAATGTCAATGATTAGAACACTGTTTATTATCATATTTATTGTTTCCTTATAGTGTAGAAGAAAGGATACTACTGGCCAAGAAAACAGTTTAATATTACTGTTTCTTTTTCCTCAGAAATGATTGTCTATCTTCTATGTAAGGTTTTAAAATGAACATTCAAAGGGGAAAAGTCCATTATAAAATAATCTGTTCTCCTTAAAAAGACATCAAGAGGTTCCATATTTTAAAGAGCAACAAACCCAATAGAATTTTGATTGTGTTTATAACTATCTTATGCTTCTTTTTAGACAACATTCTATTCCTAAATATACTTATTTGAGTTTTCAACATTCTCAACTCTATAGTGATAAAACAGGATTTTATGAGGCTTTTTTCATAATTTATTTTTCTGAGGTCATTTTGGTCCAATAACAAAGCTCTACTGCAATATAATTGGCAGTGCATTTTATTATATAAATTTTATGGTGTGTGCTTTCACACCAATAGAAATCTAATATTAACTAAGGAAATGCAAATGAGTCCATTTCCATCTCTCATTCACACATCCTGGTTTTGCTTATCCATGCTAACAAAGGTCTTGCTGGTCACTTAGCACTCAGAAAGGTTTCTGCAATTGGTTGGAGTTAAGAATAATGTAGCCAGAGAATCAAAATACATGATAATCTGATATTTAGAGTCAAAATTAGAATTTCTACCATGGGTAGTATTTCTTTGAGGAAAATGTTTCAAAACATTATCAAACTTATGAAATTAATATGAGAAAATGGAAAAATGGAAGCAAAGTGTTTGTAAAGTGATGGAGGGGTTAAAGGGAGGGCAGAAGAATGGGGGAAAAATTAGAATCAAAATTTATTATGTAGTACTGGGGATTTAGTTCAGTCAGTGGTTCCTCTGCCTGCCTTGCAAGTGCAAGGACCTGAGTTAGATCCCTGCCACCAAAAAAAAAAAAAAAAAAAAAAAGATTTATTATGTAAGCATATAAATCTCCAATGATGAATGCCACTATATTATATGGCTAAAAGGTATCAATAAAACTATCAAACTTTTTGAAAAATAAAAACTTTCAAAGTCAGTTGTTATTTACTATTAGATACCCTAGCAAAACTCTAGGTAGGTAGATAGGCTTTGTGGGAGCAATACCTTCTTAGTAAAGAAATAAACTAAGTGTATTCAAATTTTACTGGATGTCCACTTAACATGCATTCAGGGCTTACACAATTTATTGGCTGCAAGCTACTTTTTTGCTAATAAAAATACTATATGCAATTTTCTTTTTCTAGGGAGGAGCAGAGCATAACATTCCAGTTGTCATTTCAAAAATCTCCAAAGAACAAAGAGGTAAGGTATTAGGTAATGATATAGTATCTACTCCTTTGTCAGTAATTATTATTGTTTCTCTGTGACCCGGAAGACAGTGGTTGAATCTGATGAATTCGTTTACAGGGAAGGAACAAAGAAAGTCAATAAACCATGTGACCATGTAGTAACTAAGGACTGCAAAGCTTTTCAATTGTTTAAATACAAAAACAAAACCAATGATAAGTAGTCACATATAAAATAAAGAAATTCCATCTAATACTTTTTTACAGTTCTTATTGTAATTTTTCTCATTTAACCCTCCTATGCAACTTAATCTAAGAAAAAAAGTAATGAAGATATAAAGCAATTGTTATTGTGACTAAAATCAGTAAATCACATGATGTTTACACATAAGCTGGGAGAGATTTTCATAGCTCATAGATTGGATGTTTGTTTAAAACTTCATCATAGAAAAATCATAAGTGCCTAAGAAATTTTGATATCACATCTAGAAAATAGGTCAAATTTTAGCAACTATCAGAAATAAACTAATTAGAAATATCCCTGTTTGTGATTCAATAATTGAAGTGGGCTGAATCATATTATTGATTTGCAATTCCATTCTTTGTGTATTTTGTTTTTGGTTTTGGTTTTTGGGTACCGGGGATTGAACTGAGGTCCTTGTGCTTGCAAGGCAGGCCACCGAACCACTGAGCTAAATCCCCAGCCCTGTGTATTTTTAAAGATATCAACTATATAAAACATTTAACTGTGTTTCATTTATCAGTTTAACCTTTAATTAAAAAAAACTTTCATTTTGAGAAAATAGTCAATGCAAAACATGTGTTCTTTTCATTCACAGCGGAACTTTCAGGACTGCTCTTTATTGGAGATGCAATTTTACAGGTAGATACTTTATCATTTTGTCTGTGAAACCAAAACATAAAGTCAATTTGAAGTATGGTATATGAAACTATGCTTTTATATTCATTACAGATAAATGGAATTAATGTGAGAAAATGCAGGCATGAAGAAGTGGTGAGTTTACTTTTCCCTAATGTCATAATTTTCTTCATGTCCAAATAAAGATTTAGTGCAGTGTTAAAAACTACCATTATATTCATTAATAATATATAACATTAGTGTGCTATCAGACTTTCAAAGGACCTTCTAATTGATGTTTTTTCCCCTCTCAGAAATTTATTAGTGAGTACAATCTATGATGAACTGTATTTCAAAGAAGTACTTGAGGATAGTACTTGCTATGTTTTTCCATTTTTGCTATTAATCTCTACCAGTTTATATAGGCCCTAAATATCTCTAGGTACAATATATTTCTAAAGCCTGGAATTGTTTTAAGATTATAAAGAATGAATCTGAGAAGGAAAAAAGGCCCTTCTTTTTCCTCTGACAGCCATAAAGAAAGTATAACATGAAGGGGACTTTTCGTGCTCCTTCCTTGATGCAGGCACTAGGTATTACTGTTGTCTCTCTGAGGAGAAACAGAAAATTATACCTAACCACAAAGACTAGGGAGGCACCAGGGCCCATATCTGGTATTCTTCAGGGTCCTTTTAACAGCAGCTACTACTGATTAATACAACAGTCTCACCTGGAGATGTCACAAAAGTAACACAGTTTTAGCTCAGCCATTTTTGAGGAAGCTTGGGAGCTTTCTGCAGAGCTTTCAGCATGCCAGATAAGCCTGTCCTATATGCCCTGAAGCTACTCCAGAAGATATGGCCCTGGGTGCCCCAGCCTTGAAATGCTGACTTGTTCCAGATGGCCTCGCCTGTGATCACTTGAAGTGGCTTTTCCCTGCTTCCTATATCATCCTGCTCCTGCACCCCCCTTTAGTCAATGAAGGGGGCTCCCTCTAACACACAGTGCCTATAGTGCAGCACAAGGGATGATGAAATTCCCACTCAGGTGTTGCTATTCCCTGTTCAGGTAGAGTGGGCCAAACAGACTATGCTAAAAGGGCTTGCTAACACTAGAGGTTATGAACCTTGAAGACTTATAGGGTGCAAGTGGGCAGCAGCAGGCAGTGGAGACTGAAGATCCATGTTGTGTGAGGCCTGGGGCCAAGCAAGGGTTGGGAGTGAAGTCTCTGAGAAGTTCAAAGCCAGAAACCACCAGTGAAGGACCAAGCCTAGCCCAAAGTCTAGAAGCAGTTACAAGCCTATCATCCAAGGCAAGGCAGATGCCTAAAGTGTGAGGACATTGGCCAAGAAAGAATAAAAGGGGTGAGAGGTGAAGTGGGAAGCCAAGGAGGCTTGTCCCAGAGGGACCAGCAGTGGAGGAACCAGGGAGGCAGCAAATCTTGCTGGGGTGATCTGGAGAGTTGTACATGGGCCTATAAGTCATGGCTGTGCTGGAGGTGATGATGAGACTAGAAGCCTCCAGGAACTGTACATTAAGAGCTCTAATACCCAGAACGCCACTGGGAATTAAGAGGGCCTGGAACTCATGGCTCATAGCCATGACTGTAAAGGCTGAGAGCCACTGCTCTGAAAGTCTGGAGCCGCTAAGTTCAAGGGAGCAGCACCATGCCAGTTCTAGATTTCCATCCCAATTTGACAAAACAACCTGACTTGTAGCGAGTTGATTTCTGCACAATTTCAAATGAAACAGAGTTTAAGATTATGTGTGTGTGTGTGTGTGTGTGTGTGTGTGTGTGTGTGTGCATGAGTATATGTACAAGGGGATTCTTATAGTCAACTTTTGATGGAGGAGTTGTTTTCAAGGCCAACAGATTTTGCTTAGGGGTACCCATCATTGGTTTTTACTGTGGCATTTTGTTCTCTTTTTTTCAGTACTTCTAAACTATGAATATTCCACTACCACAAAATTAGATATTCTAATTAAGTAAGTTTGTATGGGCCCCATGAGTAGATGTACAAGGGGATTCTTATAGTCAACTTTTGATGGAGGAGTTGTTTTCAAGGCCAACAGATTTTGCTTAGGGGTACCCATCATTGGTTTTTACTGTGGCATTTTGTTATTTTTTTTTCAGTACTTCTAAACTATGAATATTCCACTACCACAAAATTAGATATTCTAATTAAGTAAGTTTGTATGGGCCCATGAACTTGGATTTTTCCTTCCTTCTTTCCTGCCTTCCTTTTATTTATTATCTTTCTGTAGTGGGAGCGAAACTCAGGAGTTATCACTCAGCTATATCTTCAGCCCTTTTTATTTTGAGACAATGTCTCATTAAATTGCCAAAGTGTCAGACACATTACTCTCTTGCCTGAGCCTTGGAAATGTGGATTTTAGTAATCATTTTTAAGTAGTCCCATTGCAGGTTAGTTCTAAACTGCACTTTGGTAGAAAGGTTAAAGCATTTTTGTTGGGAATGTTGACAATTATAAACAATTGTGCAGAAATGGGTAGGACAGTGTTAGGCATTTGGAGAATGTCTATCATGATTGTTAAAATATCATTCATAAAATTGTCACTGCATTTATGCATCAGCTTCTAAGGGAAGGGGTAGAGGAGAAATTACATTTTAAAGTTTATGACAGTATCAAAAAATGAAAAAATATTCTATACTTTTGTTTCTCACAGATCTAATTTATTCAGTTTTTGATACCTTTCTCTAGTATTGTTTCATATTTCAAATCTCAGAATGGCAACCTCAGATGTCTATGAAATGGCACATTGTCACAAGTAGTGACATCACAGGGTTCTTAATTATGAGCACATGGCATGAGTGATAAAGGTTTCTTAGCATCCACAACTTCACTCTGTCTTCTCAAAATATTATTTGGGTCATCCTATTGCTGAACATCACGTAAAATGTATTTATTTCATGTCTCAGATTTCCCACAAATATGTGAAGAAAAAAAACAGTATTATAGCAGATTTTTGAATAAGAGAATAGTATTCCTCATGTTCTGCAAATTCCCATGTAACTTTTAAAGATAATCATGTAAGCAAAGGTACTTTTATCTTCAACCTTTTTGTTAAGTACAAAGTGATTTCAAACTAATTATCTAGAGAATAAAAACAAAGTACACTCTCTTTCAATGCCACATGCTGTTAATTGAAATCTGTTTGCAACTCACTCTCCAGAAACAGGCAGTGTGCTTAGATAAATGGTGATAGATCTTTGATTAAACAGGTTGGTATGGCTTGAAAGATTAATATGCACTCATACTGCCACTTCAGATAAAGCTCATTCTGACTCAAAAGGAAAAAAAATTAAGATTGTGTTGAAAATGATTTTTTGGGGGGAGCTTAGCCCTACAGGCTTTGAAATATAGATACCAATATTTTATTTAGTTGTAGCCTTTGATTTTCTAAAAGCAATAAGATGCTTTTATTTTTACCAGTAATTACCTAAACAAATGGATTTACAGCTCAGAGGGAATGACATACTAATTAAAAGTTTAATAATAATATTACATGGGCTGAAAAAAATCACAAAGGCTCAGGGAATGTAAGTAGTTTTGAAATAGAAAACTGATATACCATATTCCTTATAACATTTCAAATTCAGAAATGAACTGAGCAGGCATAACATGTTGTATGCATAACTTTTCTTTTATTCACTTTCTGTAATTCACTGAAGTGTGTACTTAGTCCCCATCAGCTTTACTTCTAGAAAGACTTTGGTACACATACCATTCATGGCATTTTCACTAGAAGATTGATAGGGAAAAAAATGCACCATGCCTTCTTATTAAGAGAAAAACAAGTCAGTTCTCAGTGCTGCTGTGCACAATGTGGAGTATATATGGGCTTTCACTCCCAGAAGCAACAGTGTTCAAGTCCCAGCTCAAATGCTCATTAACATTGTAATTTCAGCTGAATGAACTTACCTTTTCTGTACTTCTATTTTATATCAGTAGAAATGAACTAATAATAATTGCTATGAGAATTTAGAAAGCATAAAATATATCAATCTTCTAACACACACCTAGCCATTTATGAGCAGCTGTTATTTTTTGTTTGTTTGTTTGTTTTTTGAGACAGGGTCTCACTACATAGTTGAGACTAAACTGGAACTCACTATGTAGCCCAGGCTGGTCTCGAACTCACAGCTATCCTCCTGTCTCAGCCTCCTGAGTGCTGGGATTACAGACATGAGCCATCACGCCAGACCTACTGCTATTTTATGCCATTAAATACTGTACCTTCTCAAGCTGGCACTCTCCCCATTGTCCTCTAGTGGAATCTCGTTAAGATCCTCACTCTAGGTGAGATAGAACTGACCATGCTATCACCCAGCATCCCAAATTCCTCTTACCATTTTTTCTCAGGAATTAAGGTGGGTACCTGTGGCATAAGAGGCACAGCCTTTATAAAGTAAGGGATCCTTATTCATTCAGGCAGGGCATATTTTTTTTTCTCATGTAAATAATGTAGTCTATGAGTTTTACCACTAAGGTACCAAAAGTGTCTGATGCAGCCATACTTTTTCCTCAGTATTCAACAGATGTACTGATATTTTTGCCTCTGCTGATATTAAGATTGATGTTATTTTACTTACCACAAACCTCTGGACAAATTGAGCTCATTATCTTTATATCCACCCCTACTCTGTATTTTTCTTTTGCTTAATATAAAAACTGATCACAGTCTCTCCAGTTGCCTGCCCGGGTCCACCTGGCAGGTGTGCGACCTCCTGGACTGTGCACCACCAGATCCAGTAAGGAAGGTAGCCATGAGGGCACCTTTGAAACATCCCCACGACGTGCAACCCCCATTCTCAAACCTCCTGATTGGGCCAGTCCTTGGACCAACTCTGCAGAGGCATAGGTGTTCATGAAAGGTAGTTTTCTGAGCTCGCAACTTTGAACATCTTTAAAGAAAGGGCAGGGGAAACCTGTAATAGAACTGAGTGGAGTTCAACCCTGAGGGTTGGGAAACTCAAGTTAGGCCTTGTGGACTGAAGTCAGTCTCAGTCATGGGGACCTGCTATTTGCTAACTGAAATCAGGGGATTTGGTTCTGCATATGGATGTACTTGTGGTACAATATGACAACAGAGACATAGTCTGAAAGAGGCCCTTAAAATTCTTTTTTTTTTCT